CTGTGCTGGGGTCTTCAGGGCTTTGGCTGCTCAGAAACACCCCCAGGACACGCCGGCTGGACCGGGGTGCTCAGAAAAGGCTGGGGCTCCTCCCCCAGGTGGGGGCTGTGGAGGCGGGGGGCTGTGGCAGGGCACAGGGCAGCTCTGGGCAGATTCGTTCGTGGTGGTGCCAGCGGGGCGCTGGGGAGCAGAGCGGCCCCCAGGCCTCGGCTGTCGGGGAGGCACACCCCCCCGAGTCGCCCCGCCCGGCCTGGCCTCCGAGTCTTTCCCAATCTCGCCTCTCTTCTCGCCCCTCGGCTCCGGGCAGCTGGGCCAGCGCTCACCAGAGGACGGGTCTGTGGTTGCCATCGGCCCCTCCCCCTGCCCACCAAGAGCCAGGGTGGCCACGGATTTCCACAGCGGAGCTCGCAAAAGCCATCTTTTTATTTTTCATTCCTGCCGTTCAACTGGTTTGCGCAAGCTGAGGATGAGTGGGTTTTGGAGGGGAAGGAGGGCCGTGGGGCGGACCCTCCCGAGACAGTCTGTGCACGCTGCTGAGGCTGGTTAGACTGGAGAAGGTGAGCAACAAGCTCTACACAACGAGACAGGTACCGAGTGTCAAGGTGGCCGCTGGCTGCTTCTTGCCTCCCCATGGGGGTCAGTCACGCCCGTCGGTCCTGTGCAAAGGTCCTGGGGCTGGCCGGGGCGGCCGCATCCTCCCCCGGGTCCGCAGCTGTCCTGCTCACCCTGCAGAGTGTGCCGGCGACAGGCCGTGGCCGGTGCCCAGGGGCAGCCCTGCGGGCGCCGTGGCTTGGGACTGGGCCTCTCTGGTCCTGCCCTATGTCCTCCCTTTGAAAGTGTTCATGCAGGTGTAGGTTCCTGAGAATTTGTGGATCTCCTCCAGGGCGGCCTGCGGGAGTATGCTGGGGGCGGGGGAGAGGGGGAGAGAGGAGGTCAGAGCAGCCACGCGGGGGGGTGCAGGAGAGCGCCCCTCACAATCCCCTGGCCACGCGCCCGCCATGGGGGGCTTCAAGGAAGTGCAGAAACAGCTGTTTCCAAGTAGGGTGGGCAGAAGCAACTGTCGTAGCCCAGCTATACAGCCCAGCTCTTGCCCTCGTAACTCCCACCCGGCTGGTCCCATGACCTTTCTACGAGACCCAGCCTTTGGCATCAAGACCTCAAGACCCCTGGGTATATTTCCTGTAGGTTGGACCCGGGGCTTGTCTCTAGAACAGCAGTTCGCAAAGTGTGGCCCAGGAGGGACCTTTGTGGGGGTTACCTGAGATCTCTTCATGGGTCTGGGAGCCAAATTATTTTTATACAGCTACTATTATAATAATAAAAAATTGCCTTTTTCACTCTTGTGGGTGTACTGTCAGAATTTCCAGAGGTTCTATGACATGTGCTATCACATGGATTAAAATCAGAAGCAGATACAAGAGTCCAGTTGTCTTTAATTAAGTCAGACAATAAAAGCTTTGCAAAAATGTAAAACAAAGCCATTCTTCTCACAACATTTTTGTTTTTTGGAAAATGTGCCTCTTTTCATGAAAATATCGTATTTATGTTAATATAGAATGGGTTTGTGGTTGCTTTTTATAAATATTTTAAGTATAAACAAATAGGAAAATCTTCTAAGACTTTTCCTCGCATGGTGAATAGTTCACGTAGACAAAGCTCTTTGGGTTCCTCAGTAATTTTTAAGGCTGCAAAAAACGGTCCTGAGACCACTGAGTTGAAGAACCACTGCCCAGGGGCCCCACCTGTCATGCCCACAGCAGACATGACCAATCGATCACCCTGTGCATTCACCTGCCCAAGGGCCCTGCCCCACAGGCTCCGAAGGAGAAGGGGAAATGCCAGCCTGGGCCTGACAGAGCTTTCCCCACCAGCCCCTACCTTTTCAAGATGATGAGGGCGTGCATGGTCCAGGGGAGCAGGAGGAGGGCCTGATTGAGCTGCACAGCCTCCACGGTCCTCCGGGCCACCGTCTCCGGCTTCAGTGGGGGGAAGAGGTTGGGAAACCTGCATGCAGGAGGAGATGATGTGGGTTTGTCCTAGAGAAGCAAGGACTTCTGCCGTCAGCCTCAGTAGCTAACACATCCGGAGCACCCTTTGGCTTCTTCTGTTTGGGATACCCGAGGCCCAATCCAATTCTCTCCTCCCCTTGAACACTTCTCGTTCTATAAACCCTCCTCTCCTGCCGCCCCCAAAGTGCTGGAGTTCCTCATTCCCCACAGTACTCCCAGCTCATAGGTGTCTCCCCTTGAGAATCAAGGCGTCTAGCTTACCCACCCAGGACCCATTCTCCAAAGCGCCCACAGGGCCCCTTCAAATGGCCAGTGTCACTGTCCTGCTCAAATCTCCCTGCTCTTGCCTGGGGCTCCCCCACATAAGAGTTCTGCTCACTTGGCCCTGTCTACCGCAAACCCCTCTCACCAGCCTGCACTCCCGCAGTCCCGGACAAGCTCCTGCTTGCTCACTCACTTACATTCTGCCCCATAGTCTGCTCCCCGCAAGCTCCCCCTCAGGATGGTGCCTCTGCCCCATCCACTCGGGGGTTTCTGATCGTACCCCCCCCCCCGATAATTTCCTGGGTGCCATTTGCCGCATCTAGAATGGTCTGGCCTGTCTGCTTGTTTCTTTGTGAATGGCCTCTCTCCCCCAGCAGACTCAGTTTTGTGAGGACCAGGCTGCTCTGGCTTCCCGCTGTAGCTCCAGCACTTAGTAGGGCAGCATACAGTAGGTGCTCAATAAATGCCTGCCCAGTGGATGAACACTGAATCTTTGCCATTCCCCCGGTGTGTCCTGCTTGACCTGTCCGGAGGCAGACAGTCTGCTGGGATATCCTTTCCGGCCTACTTTGCTGACTCACTCATTTTTGTCCACTCATTCACTCACTCACTCTCAGAGCCTTCCATGGAGCTGATAAATGATTGGATAAGCAAACTTCGGGGACTGCACACGCTTGTTCAGAGATACTCTGCCCTCCCGTGATGACGACGCTCCCAAGTGCCAGGCCTGTGCTAGCTTCATAGGCGTCCTTTGCTCCAACTTACAGATAAGGAATTGAGGTTCGGGACACGGAGAGTCAACCCGGGTGTACAAGCCTGAGTCCTGGGTCGATGCTCCGTGCCTGTCTGCGGCTGCCCCACCCTCCTGGGCCTGTAGGTGCAGGGCTGAGGCTCTGACCTCAATCCCACAAATACTTGGGAGCCGCTCTGGCACCCAGGATTAAGGGTGATGAGTCACCAGGTCTCAGAGAGCCCCAGGATCTCACCCCCCACCCCAGGCTTCCTTGCCACGCCCACAGTGCCCCCGGGGTCTCCAGAGAAAACTGGAGCAGCTCTCTGATGCTGGGCCTGAGGGCTGGACAGACAGCCTCCTCCAGTCCCTCCCTGGGCGGCGGCTACTACTGGGCGGAGGGGCCACAGCCTAGATAGACCAAGCTCAGAGGGCCTCGGGGGCCCCTCCGGGTCAGACCCCTGCAAGAGGACCTGGCAGAGGACCCTCTGCTTGCCTGCGGGCGGGACTTTCTCCTTTCCCTCCGCGGTGGGTGTGATGGGTATACAGGAACCCGCAGACCTATTAACTCCCACGGAGGCAGCAGAAACTCGGGGAAACGGCGTGTCAGCCAATGTCTCGCTGTATGGCCTTAGGCAAGTAACTCCGCTTCTCTGAGCCTCAGCTTCTTGGCCTGTGAAATGGGGCCACTGGTGTCCTCCCAGGGATGATGAAGCCCAAAGGCGGCAGCGTTTATAAAGTGTCTTTGTGGCTGTAACACCCAAGATCAGTGAACAGCGATTTACAAATAATAGCACCCACCTCTGTGCCCTAACCAGTGGCTTCCCATCCCGGGCCGTGGGGAGCTGCAGACTGGGGTGTGACCCCAGGAAGTTTGGGTGGTCAATGAACCACTGTGGAGAAAGCAACTGGGGGAAGCTTGGATTTCCCTTCCAGAGCTAAGACAGGGCTGGACGGGCCAGGGTGCCACTGAGAACCCTGGGTTGCCCCTGTTGCTCTCGCATGCAATTTCCCCTGCTACATGCATTTATTGAGCACCTCCTGTATGCACAGATGAAAAAAACAAACCAGGTCTCCATCTGCCAAAAAAAGCAACATGGAGCATTAATTGTCACTGATCCAGCCTCTTCTGCATCAGAATCAGTGCTCATTTGCGTGCCAAATGATTATCCTGAGGACCCTCAGCGGTATGTGTCATGTTGACACTTTCACAGACAAGCAGAGTAAAGCGCAGAGAGAGTAGAAAACTTAGCTCAACATTCTGCAGTCACACAGCAGCTGAGGCCTACTGCCAAAGCCGGGATTTTGATTCTCGGTCACCGGGACCATGCTTGTCCCTCCTCAGATCAGCAAAGGCATCCGGAGGGCCCCCAGGGACACAAGTATGCAAAACACTGTCCACCCATGGTCTCCCTGAATTCTCAGGGTCACCCTGCCTGGTCATCCTCATTTTGGGGTGCAGGCAAATCTCACATCATAGGTTCCACGGCAAAAACCACAGAAATCATTTGGGCAATTCTCCGTTTCACTGGTCTGTCGCTGTAGGTCCCGTCCTAGCCACACGTCATCAGAGGGTCGCATGTGGGGTTCCTAGGTAGGCCCCACTCTGTCCCGGACACAGAACCCCAGCAGGGGACATTCTATCACGCGCTCACGCCATGTTGCAAGTCAGCCTGTGGGGCCAGAGCGGGAAAGAACTGGCCTCCAGGTGAGCTAGCCCCGTGAGGGCCTGGCTCTGGAGCTGGGCTCTGACCCCTGCCCTTCACGGGGACCTCACGGGCCAGATTTGCATACAATAAAAGGCATGAGTCTGAAGGGTAAAGGGATTAATTTTTACCCATGTAGCCATCACCTGGCTTAACAAGACAGACCAGTTCTAAAAGCCTAGAAAGTTCTCTCTGGTGCCTCCCAGGCTACATCTCTACCCCCAGGTGTGGCCACAGCTCTGCTTTTAATGACGAGGGCCCAGACTGGCCTGTTCCAGAATTACTCAGAATGCTCTAAAGAGAGCATTGTCTCTGGCTTCTTTTGCTGGCCATGGTGTTCTTGCAGCTCCTCCATCCTGCTCCTGTATCAATCCCCTGTTCTCTCTTTATAGCGCAGTAGTAATCCACTCAGCACCAGCACTCTGCTAAAGGCCCTGACCCAAGAAGCAGCCTCCTAGGCCATACCAGCGTCCAGCCGGAGACGACACCAGAGAGAAAGGGCTCTGGCCTGCACACACCAGCGGCCTCTCCCCAGTGCAGGCCACTGGTGGGTGTGCGGGGGTGGCGGAGGTGGGCCCCTGCGCACTGACCTGACCCTCATGCCCTGGAACATCTCGGTGCTGGTGTGGAAGGGCAGGACGGTGGTGGCACTGACGCCCGGGCAGTCCAGCAGCCCCAGGGTCAGGCTCTCCATGAAGGCGAAGGCCGAGGCCTTGGACGTGCAGTAGTCAATGGCGCCCGGGATGGCGGACAGAGCCAGCACGGAGTTGAGACACACGATGTGGCCGTTCTGCAGCTCCAGCATGCGTGGCAGGAAGGCCTTGGTGGTCTGCGGGCGGGCGGGGTGTCAGGCAGAGCAGCTGCAGCGCCCAGCGCCCCTCAGTCGGTGGCAAAGACCCCGGGCCTGAGGCTGGCGGCTGCCAGGCACTTGGCAGTCCGAGGAAGGGGCCGAGGGCCACGACTGTGGGGTCTGAGCTCCACATTTCAGAGCGTCCAGCTGCCTGCTGGTCAGTCCTCTTGCCCATCCCTGGTCACTGGACACCCCCGGCCTGCCCCCGAGCTGTGCTGAACCGCCCTCCCTTCTCCTACGGCCCCGGGACGGGCGTACCCAGAACTGGCCGAGGGTGTTGATGTGCTGGGACTTGAGAAGGGCGTCGTCGTCGCTGTCCATCAGGCTCTTCCCGTGGACCACTGCGGCGTTGTTCACCAGGATGGTGATGTCGCCCACCTGCGGGGAGAGGGGCAGGGCCGTGAGGGCTGCCAGCCCGTGGCCTGCGTGGGGCCCTGAGCCCCAGCCCTGCCCGTGGCCCTGGGCAGCCACAAGGCTCCCGGTCTTGATTCGCAAGATGGTTCTGAGGGAGGCTGAGGGATAACCGAGGGCCACGATCCACCTGGCGCAGAGCGCATTTGTGATAAGCGCGGGATATCCCGTGAACAGCTAATGCTCCATGCGCTGGACACTCCGCAGGGCCCGGGCAATCCCGGGGGTCAGTCTCAACGAGGGTCCAGCTGGGAGGGGCCCTACCAGGGCAGAGGGACCTTTGTCCTCAAGCCCCACTGCGCCAGGAAAGAAACAAGGTCCAGACTCCCAAGGGGACACCAGGGGACACTCCTGTTACACCGGCAACCCACACCCGAACCCCCACCCTGCAACACACGCACAGGCACGCGGGCACGCACATCTGCACACAGCACTGCTCTGGTGGGCCAGAGGGGCCCTCTGGCCGGCCACCCTGGGGCAGGCCACTCACCTTCTCCCGGACAGCCTTGGCCTTCTGATACACCTCCTCCCGGTTGCCCACGTCACAGATGAAGTAGTGACACTCAGTGCCCATTTGCCGAATCTCCTCCGTCGTCTCCTTCAGGCATTTCTCAGTCCGGCCCCAGAGGACAATCTGGAAGGAGAGGATCACCGCAGAGTCGGCGGTTAAGGCAACTTGCTTGCGTGAGGCTGGCCTCCCTGACTCCAGCCACAGGCTGAGCAGGAAAAGCAAGTCGATTGGGGCTTTTTAAAAGGGACAGCGCCTGCTCTGTGGTGAAGCAAGGGCTGCGGAGCGGTAGCCCTGAAGCTACCCCAACAGCAGAGTCCGTTCGGCACGAGGGTCTAGAGCCAGGTGTGTTAATAGCAGCTTCAGAATGAGGGGAGCCTCCTGCGGTGGTCCCCGCTGGCTGGCCTCTCCCAGCAGGGAAAGAAACGGGATCCGGAGGGATCCTGGCGAGGGCAAGAAATGGGTTCTTCCCGCGACCGGACAGGTGTGTGACGGGCAGGTCGCCACAAGGTCAGGAGAGTCTGGAAATGCTCAACCTTGACCTGAAAGATGCCCGCACATGTCATGTCCTTGGGGTGCCGGAGAAGCTCCTGGAGGTGGGAGAACCAGGGCCCAGTGATGGGGCAGGGAGGAAGCCAAGGAGACTCAGCTACATCAGCACAGAGAGCGCAGGGGACAGGAGAGAATCAGCAGGCAAGAGACAAAAGCCTCTTTGGGAATGGGCCGACTGGGCTTTTCGTTCTTTTTATTTAGTTATTTTTAAAAGATTTATTTTATCTATCCAAGCATACAAGAGCTGGGGTGCAGGCCCAAGGTGTGGGGACAGGGGAAAGGATTCCCCAGAGACAGAGTGGGGAGCAGCACAGGCAGATGGACTGAAGCCCACTGCTGAGGGGAGACAGGAGAGGTCTGCTGCACCCTGTGGGTCACTCCCTGGCCGGTGACAGGTGATCAAACTTGCCCACAGCTTCATAGTGCTGAGACTTAACCCCTGCACCACCAGCAAGGCCCCCGGGCTTCGAGTTTTGTTTCTTCTCTTTTTAAAAGTTATGATTAATGAAACGCGTCCTCTAATCATAAACCCCAACATGGAAACCCTGATGTGTGAAATCAGTAACAGACGCAAACTCCGCTCCCCGCTCCAGATTCTCTTACTCTGAAGGCGGCTGAAACGAGCAAGCCTGAGTCGGACAGGCAGCCACAGGAGAGGGGGTCACAGATGCCCCCCAGCTCCAGATTCCTGCCAATGTCGGCCGCCGGCTTTGGGGGGCAGAGCAGGGGCGTGCGGATGTGTGGCTGCTGATGGCAACTGTTTATCAACGGTTGCCCTGAAGTCTCAGAACTTTCTCTAAGCGGGAAGGGCCCCCGTGGGCTAGGCAGGTGGGAGGCACTCGTATCGGTGATTGCCACTGGACCTGGATCCTCAGCGTTTTCAAAATTTCGGAAATATTCTTTGAAAACAAACGTGTTCTCGCACCACCCAGAAACATCTATGGGAAAACTCCACCTGGTACAGCCACTTGATTTTAACTGGCGTCCTGAGATCCAGGCAGGCCTGCGGGGGGAGGGCTCGTCGGTGGCTCCCCGTGACCACCAGAGCCCGCCAGGGATAAACAGACTCCCAGGGGCACTGCCTTGGCTGTGGAGCTCAGGACGGACTGAGAGTCCCTCCAGCAGAAGCTTGCGCGATTGGCTTCAGAGAAGAAAGACACGGACATCTGTTTCAGTTGGGTGGGGGCACCCCCGCGCCGCCAGGCTCAGCTTTGCTTGAAGTCATTGTCCTCCACTGAAGTCATTGTCCCCCACGTTTCCTTTCATCCTCGTTTGTCACACTGCCTGTGTGTCCACACAGCCTCCCTCCTATTCTCCTGTCCATTCCTTCTTTCCCTCCTCTCATTTTTCCTTCCATCTATCCAACCCTCCATCCCTACCTTCTGTTCATCCTTCCTTTCTTCTGTCATCCATCCAGTCACTCCTCCATCTGTCCACCCACCCACCTTTCCACCCACTGCCCATCCACCTGTCCACCCACCCATCTGTCCACCTACCCACCCATCCATCCATCTGTCCATCCAACCACTCATCCATCCATCTGTCCACCCA